CCATGTCTTGAGGGCGCGGCGGAAAGTAAGGAGATCCGGAATCGTCCGGATCTCGGGGGGTAGTTCGTTCCAGAGGGTGGGGGCACCCACAGAGAAGGCCCTCCCCCTGGGGGTCGCCAGCCTACACTGCTTGGCCGACGGCACCCTGAGGAGGCCCGCTCTGTGGGAGCGTACCGGTCTATGGGAGGGAATCTGTGGCAGAATATCTTCTCTTTCTCACACGCAAGCATGCACACGCACTCTTCCCACATCCTTCTCAACTAGGCTGGCAGGCACTGACCTGAGGGAAGGAAGCTACCAATATACATCCGGACAACTCAAAAAGTGGGTGGGCTTCAGGACCTCAAATCCTTGCTTGCTATGCTTTGATTGACAAAACTAGTGGCTATTAGTGGTTAATTTACAAGTCTGGTAGCTGTTGATTGAATCTGAGGAGAGATTTCCCATGTGTTCAAGCTCAACTTCTTTTGTCTGGTTTGACATTTTTCCTGTTTCTTTAACAACTTGATTCCTTTTTAACTATCTCCCAAAGGGATCTTTTTGAAAAGATTCCTGGCTTTTGTCTACCCTGTTAAAATGCCTGCTTCACTGTTAAGTATGGCAACTTCAACCTAGACTCATACAACTCCTGTCCAGAGTCAAGGATGACAAATCAGCAGACTCTGGGGACCAAGGCTCAGAACTGCGCCATCTTGCTATGATGAAGTCATACCCTTGCTGTTGGATGACCTCACCCAGCAGTTTCATTTAGATATTAAAGAGGAGGGGTAAAAAGACTCAAGCTCTGAGATATGAAAACCCAGCACTTGTCTGAGGGAACAACATGTCATTTTTCTACATCAATCTTTCTCCAACTAAAAAGCGCCTATTTGATACCTCCTATCCCAAGGCCTGTGAAATAAAATTAGTTTTTAAAATTTGCTCCAAAGTAGGTAAGAGCTGTTCCAAAGGTCAGATACAAAAGCAGAAATGGCCTACTTCCTAGGAGCCACTATATGATGATGCTTAATTGGCAGGACCGAAGTAAGCCAGCAACTAAATCTAATAATATGGAACAGACCTATACATGTTTTCTATTCTGCTGTTGTTTTAAAAACTGTCATGTTTTACTCTCCTCTATTAAGCCTCCTCTGCAAGGACTGAGAGTCTCTGTTCATTCCAGTTTCTTATTGTGCACCAATTTCTTCTAGCCTCTCGTATTTATTTTATAACCTGAAAATCTCGACCTTGTAATTGTAGGTGGCTTATAAAATGAAAACACAGAATATCATTAAAAACTATTACAATGCATTCAAAGCCCTCAAAAATCAGTTCACAATCAGAATCCTCATATATATCATATTCCATTAACAGTCTGACCCCAATGCTGAGGAAGCCAGGTCTTCAAATCTAAGGGCTAATAGTGCTAGGTTCTTCAAAACCCAGGGAATGCTGATGCATACCACAGGAGCTACGAGAGAGATGATAACAAGCTTACAGAGCACTAAGGACCTCTCAGAGAAGGCACACTTCCTCAATCCCATAAAAATGACAGTTTCATGGAATGGACTTGAGTGTATTCAACCTGCTGTATCAAGTGGGATGTATGGATATAAGTAGGGGCAGATGGCTCCACAAGTAACCATTTGGTGATAAACTGTGTACTAATTCTGGCTGAGGGACTGCAACTCCATCCAGAATCAGAAATGGACTTGTTGAAGTGAGTTGAAGCCCATCCATACTTCACAGTTTCCAGACACTGGGAAAACATTTTGACAGCATCACTTAAGGAACCTGTTGCAGAAATATAAAGTAGTTAACCTTATGCTGATAAATGACCTCATCCAGTAGATTCATGTAAGTTAAATTAGAATGGAGACAGGCTGGATTTCTCCCCCTACCCAGATACTAACTGGAGCCAGCTCTGGAAGGAGAAGAATCACCATAAGAAAGTGCCTCCCACTCCCAATTCCCTAAACTCCAGAAAAATACTATGGTTGATGGAACGGAAAAAGAAATCAAAGAAGACCAAGATGAATGCGCTACCCATGTCCTGTGCCTGTTAGACATCATCCACAAGGATCATTAGTGCTGTTTTCTTCATCTTCTTCTTCCTCTTCCTCTTCTTACCACCCTCTCAACATGTCATTGAATTCAGTGATGGCCTCTTAAGGAAAAGACAAATCCTCACTTTTTCAAGATAGATAGAACAATTCCTTCTCAGAGAACTATTCACTACTGCCTAGATCCAATGACATGTCCCTCCTTTGAGGCCTTGACCAGCATAGTACTCTAATGATACAATCCACTTCTTTATAACTAATACACTCAAACTCTTCTCAGGTAATGAAATATCTCCATGGACCTACACAGCTAAAA